TCTTTCCCTTGTCTTGGAGGAAAAAGCTGCTGCTAGTACTCAATTTTAGCGGTATCCACATTCATGATTTCATTTTATTTCCAAAACAATCCATTTTACAGATGAGAAGACTGCCCAAGAGGTGAAGGAATTTGTCCATAATAACGAATACCACCAATGCATTTTTTAAAAATTTAATTTAATTTAATTTAATTTATGTATTATTTAAATTTGTTATAGGGCACATGTACTCACCAGAGAGAGAGGGAAAGTGAGAAAGCAAGCTGCCAGGTCTAGGACTCAAACTGTGGTCAGCTATGTTGGAATCCAGAGCTTCAACCACCATGCCACCTGCTCGCCCCACCACCAATTCACTAGTATTGAGTGCTTCCATTGTGCCAGGCCCTAGAGATCACATTTAATCCACACAAAAATCATCTGAATTATTTGTTCCTATTATAGATAAGGCAACCAAGGGGAGAAGAATGTATCCAAAGTCATGTAGCTTACAGTGATGAAGTCTCAGTTTACCCAGAGACAGTTGGTCCTCAGAGTCTGAGCTCTTTTTATTTTTCTTTTAAATAGATCTTTGCTATAGGGTGTATGCACTTGGCCAGAGAGATGGAGAGACAGGAAGTAAGAAATAAGCCTCCCAGGGAGAATGGCCATACCTCAATCTCTTCTCCTCCACTCTCCTCTCAGGATTTTGGACATGCATGCACATACACCTGACATGAGTTTCAAGCTGCCAGGTCTAGGACTTGAACCACTGTCTAACATATGGGAGTTTACCACATTAACCATTGTGCCACCTGCTGGCCTCAGAGTCCGAACTCTTAATGGCTATCCCTTGCTGTAATATGAGGGGCAGAACTAGGCCTGGAAAAAAAATTCAGGCCTCCTAGTTCTTAGCCTGGAGCTGCCCTATTTATTTTGGTTAAAAGATTATTGAAAAGATTTTTGAAATCTTTTTAAAGATGTTTTTGGTGTAGTAAAACATACACGATATAAAATTTACCATTCAGCCATTTTTAAGTGTACAACTCAGTAGTGTTACTTCCATGAATGCTGTTGTACAACCAATCTCCAGAACTCTTTTCATTGTCAAACTGAAAATCTATAGCCATTAAACAAGGACTCTCCATTCCCTCCTCCCCTGGCCCCTGGGAACCACTGTTCTACTTTGACTCTATGAATTTGACTGTTCCAGGTTGGAGCTGCCCTGATTCTTAAAAGCCTACTTTGCTGTTGTGTCATTTGTGCTAAGTGTCAACAGAATAAGGCCAGGGCCACAGGAGTTCAGAGGAGGTCAAGTTATTCACAAGTGGGGTGGTCAGGGAAGGCTGCATGGAGGAGGGGGTAGAACAAGGAAAATGATCTGGTCCCCTGGCCTGCATTCCTTGCCCCAGAAGATAGGAAGGCAGTGGTGAGAGTGACTCAGGAATTCCTGGTCCCCGCGACG